TTCTTATGGGCTGAAATTCAACATGGGCGCATATTTAAGATCTGAATATTTCAATTCAAATCATTTCACATCCGGAAGGGCAGGAACATCAGTCGAGAACCGGTTCACAATCTCCATCTGAAACCTTCACAAACATAAACACTGCTCTGGCAACAACTGAGGTCCAAAAATACAATAAATAAAAGATAATTACAACTATTTACACAAATGACAAAAGTCTATTACATGAAAAATTCAAACTTAAAAAACTTAGAAGACAACTGAAAGAAGCTGAAGTACTAAAACTAAAATTAAATTAGAGTTCAATAGAAATATTTATGTGAAAATTAAAAGCAAAGAATTAAAAAAACATTACACAAAATCTTAAACGTAAAAAAGTAGGTGAAAATTAGCAATGAAGTTCAAGTAGTAAAATGACTAAAACAAAAATAAAAATTACAAAATGAATATCAAATAAAATAGATGAAAAACTTTTTTAAAAATGAGAAACATTGCTTTGGAGAACAAACTGAAATACAAAAATTACAATAAATAAAAGCTAATTAGAACTTTTAAAAAAGGAATAAAAATGACAAATGTCCATAAAATGAAAAAAACTTAAGAAAAATGTGAAAAAGTGCTGTCAACTAAAATTACTAAAACCTAAATAAAATTAGAGATAAATAGAAATATTTTAAAACTAATAAAAACGACAAAAGCACAGAACAAAAAACAAATATTACAAAAAATAAAAATCAGGAGATAAATAAAAATGTAAAAAAAAAGTCTATAAAATTAAAAGATGCAAAACATAAATGTAAAAGATTTTTTTTTAAATTGCTGTCAACAAACTGAAGTACTAAAAGGACTTAACTGAAATAAAATTGGAGATAAATAGAAATTTAAAATCTAATAAAAACGACAAAAGCACAGAACAAAAAATGTACAAAGATAGACAAAATCTTAAAATGTAAAAATGTTGATGAAAATTAAAAATGAAGTGGAAGTACTAAAATCAAAATCAAAATTAAAACTAAAATAAAAGAGATACTAACTGAGAAACATTGGTTTGGCAACAAACTGAAGTACGAAAATTACAACCAATAAAAGCCAATTAGAACTATTAAAAAGTGAATAAAAATGACAAAAGTCCATAAGATGAAAAAAATTAAATAAAATTTGAAATAAATAGAAATATTTTAAAACAATAAAAAATGACAAAAGCACAGAACAAAATCAACAACAAATATTACACAAAAATCTTAAACATAAAAAGTAAAAAAAAAAAGCTAAATCTTAAACACAAAAAGTTGATGAACATTAGAAATGAACCCTAATTATTAAAATCACTAAAACTAAAAATCACAATAAATTAAATAGAACTATTAAAAAAGGAATCAGATCAATTAAAACTGATGAAAATGAAAAAAATAAAATAAAATATAAAAATTTTATGAAAATGAAATTAACCCTAAACGAAAACATAAAAATATATCACTGAAAGTATCACTAAAACAAAAAATAAATCACAATAAATTAAAGCCAAATAGAACAATTAAAAAAGAATAAAAACAACAAAAAACACATAGAATAAAATATAAATATAAGAAAAAAAAACTGAAATCAAAGCTAAATAGAAATATAAAAAAGATTAAAAATGACAAAAGCAGCTAAGAAAATAAAACAAAGATTGAACGAAAAAAAATACAGTGAAATACTAAAATGACTAAAAATAAAAAATAAATATATTGAAGCTAAATAAAAACATTTTATTTTAATATAAAAATGACAAACACACATGGAAAAAATTGCTACAACATACAACCTTTTTTATATTTTTGTATCAGCGATTGTGTGTGATGTCACTTCTGTGTGTGTTTGAAGCGAGATCCCAAACACACAACGTTAGCATTGTGTGTGTGTGTGTGTGTGTTGTACCTGTTTGCTCGTTTCAGGTCGTTGACGAACTCTGCCGACTGCTGATGACGGACTTCGCTGCTCTTCGTGAGTCTTTCTAACGCAGAGACCAACTCCTGAACACGAGCCTTCAGTTTCTTCTCTCTGCCACACACACACACATCATAATTAAATTTGAATTCATTACAATGGTCATTAAAATCATTTTTAAATCATTAAAAATGGTCTTTGTCAACTGAAATAAAATATAAATATTACATGTAAAACTTGCAGTGGCAACTTGAAAATAAGGCGAATTACTAAAATGACAAAAACCGAAATGCATAAATGAAAAGTTTGAAAATAAAAATGAAATTAAAGCTAGAAAAAGGGAATATAAAAAATAATAAGAATTACAAAAAAAGAATAATAAAATAAACCCTTGTAGACAGACACACACAAAAATATGTTGTTTTTTTACAATTTGCTGTTACAATTTTGCTGTTTACTTTTGCTGTAAAATCTTTCCTGATTTTTATCAAGTAAACATAAAAACTTTAATATTGTCAGTAATATTTCAACATGAGTGCTTACTGTACAGAACATTTACTGGATTATCCAGACGAGTATTTGTTCATCTTTTATTCATCATTAAATTGCATTGCATTATATTTTTAAACTAAGCAATATAATATCATCTTTCTAAGACATAATTGGCAGATATTGATATTTATACGCATGTTATGTCAGTATCTGCTGGACTGTTATAAAGATCTCATTGATTTATCATCAGCATCAGAATTTCATCTTAGATTTGTCATATTAATATCAGCATCTGCAGCACATTGCATATTTTTGCTCAGTTTGAGTCTCTGAAATAAAATCAAATTGAGCTGTTTTTCTCATTATTTCATACTGTATATATGCCATAAACGTCTGATGGATCAAATATGATACTCAAAAAACAAAACAAAAAAGCTGCAGTCTTTTCTTTTTACATTTTTTAAATGATTTTGAATATGCATGTATCATTAGATGTGTTAGTGTGTGTGCCGACCTCCTGAGGGCACCGGTGAGCTCCGCCGCAAGATCACTGTCACTCAAACTCCTCAGATCACACAGACTGATCGCTGGAGAATCTCCTGAGTCCTGCACACACACACACACACACACACACATTATTTGCATATTTAACAATTAATGAACAAACAAGAACAGACAAAATTGCTAATGTTGCTCTTGAAAGTTGCTTTATACACTTCATTCAAGGTTTAGATAGACAGAACTTTGAGAATTATAATTATAAATGTAATGGAAGCCACTTTGGATGAAAGTGTCTACAGTTAAATGCATGAATGTAAACACAGCTGTCGGAATAATGGAAACACAACTCAATCATCTGGAACATTCTGGATCTGCAGAGACTGTGTAGCCCCTTTCACACAGAGACTCCGGAAAATACACGGATAATGTGAGCCGGCATTTGTCCCGGGATTGTTTGATTTCGGTTCATTCACACTGCCAATGATTTGCCTGATAGATAGATAGATAGATAGATAGACAGACAGATAGACGGATAGATAGATAGATAGATAGATAGACAGATAGATGGATAGATAGATAGATAGATAGATAGATAGATAGATAGATAGATAGATAGATAGATAGATAGATAGATAGATAGATGGATGGATGGATGGACGGACGGACGGACGGACGGACAGATAGATAGATAGATAGATAGATAGATGGATAGATGCTGTGATTGGATGCATCTCTAATGTTGGTTTGGTGTTTTTGAAATGCCTGAGTCACAGCATGATTTGCTTGAATTGTTGTTACACTGACTGTGTAGTCGTTGATTGTGTAGTTGTGTACCTTGGCGCTGGTGTGTTCTCCTCCTCCAGTGCTGGAGTTGAGTGATCGGCGTCTCTGTTCCTGATGCTCCTCCACCTCCGCCTTGAGGAGCTCGATGTGCACCAGATACGCCTGTTCCTGAGCCTCACGCGTGCTCAACTTCAGCTCCAGAGCCTTCTTCTCCTTCTCCAGCAGATACAAATGAGCCTTCAGCTCCGCCATCTCCTCCTACACACAAACACACACACACACACACGTCATGTGAGCCTTCAGCTCCGCCATCTCCTCCACGCGCAATAAATTTAAGAAAATAAAAAATAAAAATCTAATGATTTTAACATAATAAAAATAAAACATAAATATCAAATACCAGATCCAGTCTGTGTGTGTGTGTGTGTGTGTGTACCTTCATGGCCATGAGCTCCTGCATGAGCACGGCGTTCTCCAGGTCCAGTCTGTGTGTGTCTCCGCGGGGCTTGAGCTCGACGAGCGGGTCGATGTACACACTCTCCAGATCCAGCATGGTGAGTTTGACAGCGGCGCGATCGTTCTTCAGATGCTGCACGTAATCCTTTAGACGCTGCTCGTCTTCCTTAGAGAAATCAGTGTCACAGCTGCTGGCCGTCGAGCTGGTGGTGCTGCACACACACACACACACACATGCAATTTTTACACTTTCAAAAAGCATCAAATTTGATTTCTAAGCTGTTTTCATCATTTCCTCAATGTCCCCACAAGGACAAGGATCTCAGATATTCCATACTTTCACAAACTCATTCACTTACACACACCGTCACACCGGAGGCTGTGTATGTGCGTATGTGTGTTTTAGTATGAGAGACAGTGTGTGTGTGTATGTGAGAGAGAGAAAGAGGGAGAGAGAGAGAGTGTGTATGTGTGTTACAGTGTGTGTGTGTGACAGTGTGTTTGTGTGTCAGGAGTGTTTCTGAGCTGATGGATGTAATTGAGATTGTCATTATAATCAGGGCTTCAGTAATCGAGGGATGGAGGATCATCAGGAGGCGTTCTCACGCTTCATTGAGATTGTGTGGAGCCTGATTCACGCTGACTAAAGTTAAACAGATGGAAGATAATCATAAAAATGTAAAAAAAAAAAAAAAAAAAATGTAATAACAATATTAGGAATTATTATTTTTAATTATATGATTAACATTTTAAAATAAATAATTATTTATAATAATATATTACTAAATATAATATTTTACTTATAATTATTTATTATAATAGCTATAAAAAAAATACTATCCACAAGTTTCCGAGGGGCGCTCATGTAAAAAATAAAGTGGGTGAAACTTCCGGTGACGCGGCGGAAGTAGCATTCCAATGGTATTTTGTGTGTTAGTTAGCGAAGAGGCTAGCTGTTTTTCGGATAATTATTTTACTATTTAAAGACGCAAATCTTTATGAGAGATGTCGTTACGGAGCTCAGGGACAACATGTGCTGTTCGCGGTTGTATGTATAACCGGACTAAACTAGTTCAGTGGCTTAAACGTGATTGTTTTGAACATAAGCTGAAAACGAAATCAGAGTGATCCTGCCAACGACTGTAGTTTCCATCACCTCCCAAAAGACGACGAATCTTCCTGTGTACATTTGTTTAAATTCTTAATATTCTATAAACTCTCTCAGCATGTGATTGGCTGTTCGCTACTGATGTTACACCTAAACTCAGGATCTAAGCCTGTGTTGACAGAATACCAAATGTGCCAGTTAATGTATTCAAGCAGCACATTCATTTATAATTTTGAATAAACTCCAAAGCACAATGATTAAGTGTGTATTTTTTATTTTAATTGTTTGTCAGCTCGCACAACTGTCTGTCACCATGCCTTGATGAGTATTGATTATTAATAATGTTATTATAATACTCCCAATCAACGACTGTGGAGGTAAAGGTACTGTTATTTCACCCTTCTGAATTTGGTTGAGGTTGTGTTCCCACATCGTTAGCTAGTTTGGATCGCTATAACTTGAATGACTGTCAACTGTTGAATGAACGAGTGTGAAGTATGTCAAATCGCGCTTCGTTTACTTCCAACCGGAAGTCGCGCCCACTTTTGACGCAAGGCCTCATGGGGCGTAGGAAACTTGTGGATAAAACACGACCGCAACGCATGATGGGGTCAGCCGGATCCGGTGTGTGGCTGTTGGAGGAGAGACTCTCCCGAGATTGAACACATGATTCGCTCACTGCTAACACACACACACACACACACACACACCTGGTGTGGCTGTTGGACGAGAGACTCTCCCAGGGTTGCACACATGATCCGCTGACGGCGAACACACACCCGTCCAGGCGTGTCAGCAGGTCTTTCGCCGCGTTCTCCGCAGTCTTTCTGCAGTCGTGGGTTTTCTTCAGGATCTGAGTGATGCTCTCTTCACCCGCCAGCTCTCCTGCGTCACACACACACCAAACACACACACACTGAACACACTCATGTACTAATAACTCAGTCCGTTAAATGTAAATCACTTTATTTGCTTGAAATAATAGGAATTGTTATATAGATTCTATATATTAACCCTTTGTGGTAGACGACCAGTGTTGGGTAAGTTACTCTAAAAAAGTCATTAATTACCAGTTACTAATTACCTCTTCAACAGTGTAATTAGATTACTGTACTAATTACTCTCTCTAAAAAGTATTTAATTACTTTTAATTACTAATTACTTTCAAAATCCCATATCAATCTCAACCAGCAGAATAATACAAGGATAGACATGAAACTGTTTTAATTCTTTCAAATAAATACTATAAAATTGCATGAATTATCCTTAAACTGAACAAGGTGGAGAAGGTTACATTATAAAAACATACTTTTTAACATCAGACAATATATTTTGATGCTAAACCCACTATTGTTTTATGTCTGATCTCATTACATTTCACACTTTTTTCATACATATTTTACAATAATTCATATGAATTTGTACGAGTGCGGTCGTAATATTTAGACACCTCATAAAATGCATACGAATCGCTGTGAGATCGGATTGATCTATACACAGTATTTATCTCAATTACATCAGAAGTAACTGTAATTAAATTACAGATAAATGAAGAGTAATCCCTTACTTTATATTTTCAAGGGAAAAGTAATTAAATTACAGTAACTAATTACTTAGTAATTACACCCAACACTGTAGACGACCACATCACATGTTTGTGAACACAAAATCATATGATGATGCAGATAAAAGCACAACATCCAAAACTGTGTGTGTGTGTTTGTGAGTGTATGTGTGAATGTGTATGTGTAAGTAAGTAATCTTCTTTTGATTAGTGTGTGTGTGTGTGTGTGTGTGTGTTCTCTTACCCCCAGCACTGACTCCGGCGGCTCTGAACTGACCCAAAACCAGACCCTGTTCACTCTCAGCCAGCGCCAGCAGCAGCTCATACGCCTCGATACACTGCTCGCTGTAACACACACACACACACGGTCATGAACACACACACCTGCAGGAATGCGGAGGCCACCGCAGACCCTTCATCAGCTCCTGAACCGCTGTGGAAAATATTTAACGGGAGACAAAGGCAACAAACAGGCCCAGACGTGAATGCGTTCGTTTCCTCCGCCTCGGATTATAAACCGACCAAACGAAGCAGAATCTGACCCGGGTTACACAGTTCACGAGAGTTTGACTGTGAAGGGATTTACTAAACACAAATAACTGTTTTAGCTGCTTCACGCTGACTTTCCCTGCAGGTATGTGTCTGCTTTTGTGAAACCTGTCGTAAGAGGAGCAGTGAAATGCATCCATGATCACATGACCGTGTTTATGGCGTTGACCTGCTCAAGTGTGTGTGTGTGTCAGCGTGATTAATCGTGGTGTTTAATGCTCTCGGCGCCGTCTCCAACTTTACGAGGGTTTGAATGTAATGACAGCGAGTCTCAGCGCTCAGATGACATCACCGTCACTGGGGACGAAACCCAATCAAACCCTGAAAAACCCACACACACACACACACATCTGATCCAACACACACCCGATATACTTCTGATCCAACACACTTCTGCATCAATCCCCACTGCAAATGTCCTAATAATGTTTTTAGAAAATAAATGTAAACTCTATTTGCAGTACAGTATTGTGTGTGTGTGTGTGTGAGAGAGTGTGTGTACCTGTACTGCAGGGCCAGTCTGAGTGCGGTGGCGTTGGACTCATATTTGCCCACCAGCATACTCATGCGCTCCGCGTTACTCTTACACTCCTCGAGTGTGATGGTCAACAGGTCATTCTGAGACTTCAGGTGCTCGATGCGACTGAGACACACACACACACACACACACACAGTGAGAAACATTTCATTTCATTTATTCGGTTTGGTCATTTACAGATCATTCAATCAAATCATTCGAAACATTTAATGCTCCTTTGTGAGCATTTCAATACGACTTTAAACAATTCAAGTGTGAGAGACTCTGTCCTCGTGTGTATCAGTGTGTCGGATCCGTGCCGCTCTAATTCCTGCTGTCTCTAAAATAACTCTAATCACACTAGACAAAAATTCCCATTGTAACTATATTTTATTTATAAAGAACAGTGTTATTTTACATTTGATTACAGTTTCTGCACCTGAAAACCTGACAAATCTATTTGAGCAATTGCTAATTTTTTATTTGTTAATGAGTGTTTATTGTCTTTAATAATGTTGTCTTTTAACCCTCTGGGGTTGTTCGGCCCAAATGGACCCGAAGAATTTAAATACATTTTTTTTTTTAAATCACAGCTTCCTCAGAATGGTCCAAAATTTGGTGACTTTGTTGGTATTTGGTATTTGAACACCCAAAAAAATTGGGGACAGGATGAGAATAGTCTAAGTGGTTGTAAAAAAAAATAGTCACACTTGGGGTGTTCGGGTCCAAATGGACCCGCATGGAAAATGAATGGGAAATTGGCCAAAATGTGAAAATACTGAGTTTTTTTGTGCGTACAATCTACAAATCAGCCACGATCTTGAAAAAAAGCACACAACAGTGAAGGGGTGAATCTATAAAACATCAAGAGTGCAAAACAGACACACACACACACACACTTTTATACACAAACACACCAAAAATTCAGATTATACATGTGTTTTGCATTTTTAAAATGCTCAGTTTGTCCACCAGATGGCATCCATCTCATTTCAAAAATTGCTTTTATGAGGCCTAGACTTGACTCTAAAATGAAATACAGATTTAAAAAAAATAAAAAAAATTTTTTTCAATATTTTTTCTATTATGTTCAATGGGGGCAAATTTTGTCATAATTATTGCATTTATACTAATTATAATCTTTTTTTTATTTTGGAAATTTCTCAAAACACCAAAAAAGAAAAGAAAAAATATTATAAAAAAAAAAAAATCATGATTTTTTTTTTTTAAATATGAATCCCGCCCTTTGGGTCCATTTGGACCCGAACACCCCGAGTGTGACTCTGAAACGAACAACTCCAGAGGGTTAATAATATTTCTAAACCACAGGCAAACGCTGCTTTTGTTCTTTAGCTGTTGATTTGTGTTCATGATATTTTTCTACAATTAAATGTTTTGCAATAAGACTAAATATGAATAATATCCAATATTTTTTCTTACCTCATTGGAATCGAAATTATGATTTGACAAAATCGGAATTGATAAGCAGAATCGTTCAAATACAAGCGATCCCCAACCCTAATGCTACGTTCACACCGGACGCGAATCGCGCGTCAAATTCGCGCCTGATGCGTCTAGTTTGACGCTTGACCACTAGTGTTAATTCGCGTGTCAAGAGCGAAACTGGCGCGCGTAAAGTTTGAAGCGAAATTTACGCGCGTGACGCGCGTCAGAATCAAAATCCGTTGGCGGCCATTGTTTTTATGTCGACCGAGCATTCATCAAGAGAGTTACCGCTCTGTATTTACTCTGGAGAGCAGAACAGCGGCGTGGGGATCATCGTCGCCGTATATTTGTGTCCACCGGACCCTTCGGAGCCGAACCGTTTGGCGATTCACCATTTGCTCGCTCCAGGAGCTGCGCTGGATGACGGCCGCTGTCAGCGGTACTTCCGCCTGTCCCGCGCCCAGTTTGATGACCTGTTGTCCCGCATTGGAGCGAGGATCACCCTCGCCCTCATCCATCTAATCTAGCTGTCATTTATTTTTTGTTTTGATGATAAATAGAGCCAGCCTTCAAAAGTTATTAACCTGTCCTGTGATTTTTTTCTCTCTCTCACGTCCAGACACGAATTTATGCACATATGTTGATTGTCTTTACAACATAATACTATTTCATATAATCTAGCTGGAATGAATAACATTCAATACAAAATGAACATGTCTCGTATATAGAAATAATGTTTTAAGTGATGAAACATTTGCTTTGTTGTGCATAATCCCACCATGCATTTAGTCATATTAACAAAATAATTTATTGAAGCATCCAGACACTTCACCACGTGAGCAAGCAGCTAGGCTCCTGATTGGTTAACGCGGCGCGAATTCACGCCAAAGTTCAGATTTTTCAACTCGGGCGGCAGACGCGAATTCGCGCCGCGCTCCACGCCTCATTCGCGCCGCAGGAATTTTTCACGAGCGTAAAGCGTCTTTGCATTGACTTAACATTGAAATCATTCGTGCCTGACGCCCTATTCGCGTCCGGTGTGAACGTAGCATAACACGTGTCCTAACTACACGCGACGCGATAAAATTCCAGCGACAGCAAGTGTGTCTGACTCTGTCCACACTAGACGCGACTGTGAGACGCACACATTCAGCACAGCGTCTCTGTGAAAGCACACTGTTGGCCCGCACTCGCATTGGATATGGGTAAGGACATAATCAAATCAAGAAATAACATTATTAAAAATCTAAACATTAACAAAATATACTCATTAACTAATTTTGTTATGAAGTACAGTTGCCTGTTATCATAGAATTCATTTTGAACGCTATATTACATGCTTTCAAAATCTGAGGTAAATTATCCGTTATCGCTTGTGGCACAGTGACCTATTTTTAACTGAACATAAATAATGTATATACTCATTACCAGTGCAATTTCTTCATTCTGTCAGCCGTGACGTCGCAGAAATAGGAACCGTTTCTAAATTAGAAACTTTGCGTGTCGCCGTCGCGTCTGGTTAGGACAAAAACTGTAGCTAGGACAGGTCAGGTGTAATGCTATATCTATCAGGATGTGGAATCACACTGAAGATGGACGGAGTGTCCCTATGAAGCTCTTACAAGGTTCTCTGTGTATGTGTGTGTGTGTGTGTGTGTGTGTTCTCTGACCTGTTGAGTCTCTCCGTCTCCACTTCAAACTCCCGGATCTTACTCTCGGAGATGGCGGATCCGTGCGAGTACAGCGTCTGGAAGATCTCCTGGATGTTGGAGCAATCCTGAAGGGAATGAGCCAAATGTTCTGCCACATTACTGGAGACCTGCAGAGAGACGGAGGAATAACACACTCGACCGGGTGTCACTTCTGCACCACACACACATTCATTTGCTGCGTTTCATTCGTCTTCCGCGTCAGGCTGGCGATAGATGACGGATTTGAGAGTTACATTGTGACATTCAAAATGTGACCAACGGTGATGACATCATCATTACTGCATTCAACATGGTGTCGTATTGTGTGTCGTTTCTCTGATGCAGCATCTGTTATCAATCAATCAATCAATCCCAGATTCTCTCTCTCTCTCTCGCTCACCCCGATGCTGCTGATCTCAGAGCCCAGGATGGATCTCTCCGCTGGTAGTGATTCTGATCGAGTCTTAGACAGCTTCACTCGCTCCGCCACCTGCAACACAAACACAGTCACACACACATAAACCATTACAATTCTGCCATTTCATGTCATTCTGAACTATGGGGTTCGCTTCCTGCTCAGCTACTGATTTGAAGTGTTAATGAACGAGGAATCCCTGAATGTGATCGAACACAGACTGAGTCAGCGTGAAGCTAACACTGATGCTAACGGCGCTCAAGGTCGAACAGACAGCGGCACTCAGCTCAGAGCACAGCCGAGAACAGGACTCTGAGACCCCATTTACACCTGGTATTAAAATGCGATCTGTATCCAGATAAGTTATCCGGATAATAAAAAACGCATGTTAATGCAAGGTGTAAATGCGTTGTGATCGGATCTGCCTGACCACATCTGGAGGTAGTCGGCTCGCATTGTGTCCGGATCTTTACTAGGTGTAAACGCAATCTGGTTGTTGAAACCACATATGTATATTTTACTCCTCCCAAAAATGCAAAAAAATAAACGAGTGAGCTTGTTATATAGGCTATATGTCATGTTCTAGTCAGATATGACGGCGCTACTGCGACACGCATCACCGCAGATGAGCGTCTATTCATCGAGCCAACGTGCAAACATCGCAAATAAAAGTGAAAGTAAGTCACAGACGCTTCATCTTCAAGTAAAGAAACGAAATTATCTTACCAGTGCTGTTGCCACTCTCTCTTATTGATGTCTTTGATTTGGAAATTAGCTGATGATCAACGAAATGCAGCTCAAATCTGTTGCTTTTGGTGGCGTGCAATCCATCTGCATACGCGGGAGTTTAAGATCGGATTTATATCCGTTTTGCAAAAACACATTTATGTGGCCAGGTGTAAATGGAATCAGTACTTATTATCCGGATAACTTATCTGGATGCAGATCGCATTTTAATACCAGGTGTAAATGGGGTCTGATAGTGGGCGACTGCATAATCAGAAACATCACTAGCAGGAACACAACTACATGCTGCCTTCCACAAGCAACGACTCCTGATGTAAACAGGGAACTTCACAACATTCTGGTGAAACATTAGGGCTCGTACACACCGGGACGAATATCAGCGTGCGTTACTCGTCAGCGTTTTTCAGCGCGTTTTTTTGTGTTCACACCCAAGCGTTTTCCGCTGACGATGAGCCGAGTGAACATGCAAATTCATTCCTTGACTCTAGATGGTGCTTAATGTAAAACAGAAATAAATAATGTCTTCTGTATTAGAAAAATAAATATATAAATAATAAATAACTAAAAGAAATGCCTCCAAATGTAACAAAAAATAGCTCTCACAAACTTACAAAAACGAACTAACAAAATCTATTTATATCTTTAGTTTTCATTCTCTTCATCTTGTTTTTCTTCCTCGTCCACCTTGTTTGCCCATCTATATTTTGCTGTAGGAGTCGGACTGATCTTTCCCAGCAGTTTTTGTTTGAAAACCAGGACATTTTCATCACTTAAAAACAGTCAGGACGGGACGTGGAAACAGGACGTGTGTAACGCAAAGTTGAGATGTTGCCCAGAGATAAAAACATAGCAGATGTCGGATGAACAGATGCACGAGAGACGAGAGTTGTCGTATTTCCCCGCGTTTAATAAAACCACTCAAACACTCGTCCTCCTCGTATGGGGATCGAGCGAGAAAAAACCCCACAAACAAACATCTGGTCACAATAGAAAAATAAAATAAAAGAAAGAATACAAAGAGTCGGGAGAGCGGTTCTCCTCTCCTCACTTGTCAATCTAACTGACACTACGCACACTATGCGCAGTTCTCATCTCAACTCAGATTTCTATAAAGCACAAAGTGACCGTTTTACACATGTCCCGGGAAAACAGGACTGTTGGTCAGCCTATACTATACTATTATTACAGAAATACTAATATAAATATTATCTTATAGCTCTTTATGCTCCGAGACCAGCAGCTCAACATTCATCTTGCCCATAGGTATCTTATCTCTTCTTCGCCGTATGTGTGCTCGGCAAGACCGTTTTGTGTTTGAGCGCCCCCAAGTTGTGTTTTACTGTAACTTCAGAAGTACCAGACACGTGAGCAAACCCGCCAATCTCGTTGGTCGGATAGGTTGACGCAGCGAAATTTAAATATAATTAAAATTAATTTTTTTAATTCAAAAATTACGCTTTTACGCGTGGCGTTTTTCGCGTCGGTGTGAACACTCACATTGGCGCCCATTGTTTAGTCACGAGGCGTTAAACGTCGACGAATAACGCGCGCGAAATTCGTCCCGGTGTGAACAGGCCTTTACTGCAAATCGACTCATCATTCATGTGGGGAAGAATGATATTCATAAAGAGCAGTCGGAACTCCTTAAGAAGGATTTCAATGAACTTTCTGAAACACTTAAAAGACTGAAAGTTCAGACATTCATCAGTGGACCACTCGCAGCAAGAGGAACAAACAGGTTTCCACGGCTGCAAAAAACCTGCAATATAAAAGGAGTGAACTTCAATCTCTTCTGGAGTCAGAGGAAACTGTTTCAACGGGATGGCCACCACCCAAACAAACTTGGTTCAACAGTGCTCAAGGACAATATCTACTTCTCCCTCCATCATACTTCTGGAGTGTGTGCCAATCCACTCAACCTGAATGGCACACACACACCTGGACACAGCATGACCTCACTTCAGCCCTTGAATGAACATGTGGTTGACATATCACACGAGGACAAGGATAACACCATGAATCTCTATAACAGTAGTGTAGAGTCTATAGGTTAAATGAATCTTATTAACAGTAGAGTCTATAGGTTAAATGAATCTCTATAACAGTAGTGTTGAGTCTATAGGTTAAATGAATCTTATTAACAGTAGAGTCTATAGGTTAAATGAATCTCTATAACAGTAGTGTATAGTCTATAGGTTAAATGAATCTCTATAACAGTAGTGTTGAGTCTATAGGTTAAATGAATCTTATTAACAGTAGAGACTATAGGTTAAATGAATCTTATTAACAGTAGAGTCTATAGGTTAAATGAATCTATATAACAGTAGTGTTGAGTCTATAGGTTAAATGAATCTTATTAACAGTAGAGTCTATAGGTTAAACGAATCTCTATAACAGTAGTGTATAGTCTATAGGTTAAATGAATCTATATAACAGTAGTGTAGAGTCTATAGGTTAAATGAATCGATATAACAGTAGTGTTGAGTCTATAGGTTAAATGAATCTACATAACAGTAGTGTTGAGTCTATAGGTTAAACGAATCTATATAACAGTAGTGTTGAGTCTATAGGTTAAATGAATCTATATAATAGTAGTGTATAGTCTATAGGTTAAATGAATCTATATAACAGTAGTGTAGAGTCTATAGGTTAAATGAATCTATATAACAGTAGTGTAGAGTCTATAGGTTAAATGAATCTATATAACAGTAGTGTTGAGTCAATAGGTTAAATGAATCTATATAAGAGTAGTGTAGAGTCTATAGGTTAAATGAATCTATATAACAGTAGTGTAGAGTCTATAGGTTAAATGAATCTATATAACAGTAGTGTTGAGTCAATAGGTTAAATGAATCTATATAACAGTAGTGTAGAGTCTATAGGTTAAATGAATCTCTATAACAGTAGTGTATAGTCTATAGGTTAAATGAATCTTATTAACAGTAGTGTTGAGTCAATAGGTTAAATGAATCTATATAACAGTAGTGTAGAGTCTATAGGTTAAATGAATCTCTATAACAGTAGTGTTGAGTCTATAGGTTAAATGAATCTTATTAACAGTAGTGTTGAGTCTATAGGTTAAATGAATCTTATTAACAGTAGAGTCTATAGGTTAAATGAATCTCTATAACAGTAGTGTATAGTCTATAGGTTAAATGAATCTTTATAACAGTAGTGTATAGTCTATAGGTTAAATGAATCTATATAACAGTAGTGTAGAGTCTAAAGGTTAAATGAATCTCTATAACAGTAGTGTAGAGTCTATAGGTTAAATAAATCTATATAACAGTAGTGTAGAGTCTATAGGTTAAATGAATCTCTATAACAGTAGTGTAGAGTCTATATGTTAAATGAATCTCTATAACAGTAGTGTTGAGTCAATAGGTTAAATGAATCTATATAAGAGTAGTGTAGAGTCTATAGGTTAAATGAATCTATATAACAGTAGTGTTGAGTCAATAGGTTAAATGAATCTATATAAGAGTAGTGTAGAGTCAATAGGTTAAATGAATCTATATAACAGTAGTGTAGAGTCAATAGGTTAAATGAATCTATATAAGAGTAGTGTAGTCTCACCCGGGCGACGGGGATGTCGTTGCTGCTGCTGCTGGTGCTCAGCTCTCCTGTGCTGGGGTTGATGGGACGTCCCGCCGGGGTGAGGCGTCCGGGACTGCACAGGCCGCTAGGCTGAGCGCTCGTCACACGCGTCTGCAGCTCGCGCACCTGCGCGCGCACGCACACACACACACACACACACAACACAGCATCTGTGTGAGCAACTATTAAGGCCAGACAAGTCAATTGTTGAGGTCAGTTTGCAGAGAGAGTGAGAGAGAGAGAGAGACCACATGCCTGCGCACATATATATATATATATATTCACACGCGCATCTCTATAGACTAAACACTCTCTGTGACTGTAATCTCCTGTTATCACTGTACAGCTGCTGTGAAACTCTATAGTGTAGAAATGAAGGAGACTCGACTAGAGATGTGGAGCTCTGAGTGCTCTTCTGCTAAATCTAGATGCTGAGATTGGTTTAGCATCCGTATTCATGTGGCTTTATTCCAGTCTATATTAGAGGCAGCACAAACCGAGATGATCACAGAGTGTGTGTGTCAGTGAGAGCGAGAGTGTGTGTGTGAGTCAATGTGTGGTTGTGAATTTTTCTGGGCAAATAAATCTTCTCCTGCTGCTAGAGGACAAATAAAGGACTGAATCCCGAACGGTGAACCTTTCACACACACGCTCTCACACACACACACAAACAAACTAACACACACACACACTCAAGAGTCTGAGCAGCTATTATTACAGAAACAGGCTTTAACAGAATCAGACACACATTTAAAGGAGCCGTATGTAAGTTTGTGGCCAAACCTGGTACTGCAATCACTTTCAAATGACTGTATAAATTCGTATAAAATCGTGTATCGATTATGTATCGGGTGTATCGGTCTTCTGATTATTTGAAATACATTTCTTACACACAGCTCCTTTAAGATGAGAGCAAACACTTTCTCTAAAATCACGGCAACATATGAAGAGAAATCAAGAGAAAAGAGAGAGAAGAGAAAACACACTGATGGTCTCAGTCGAGCACAGGACAGATTTCATTACGGCTGAAGCGGAGGCCTGTGTGTGTGTGTGTGAGTGAGAGTGAGTGAGTGTGTGTGTGTGTGAGTGAGTTTCTATAAAAGCCTTTGGCCTTTTTCAGTCTGTGTTTCAGGGTTAATTATGTTAGGGTGTGTGTGTGTGTGTGTGTGTGTGTCCAGCCTCAGACTGGCAGATTCGATTACGGACCGCGTCTAAAAGCAGGAGACTGATCGATCAGAACTGAGTTTTGCTGAGCAGTTTCCTGAGAGTGATCCGAGAGGAGTGTGTGTGTGTGTGTGTGATCCGAGAGGCCGGAGTCTTGTTTAGTGAATCGATCCATCAGGATCTGCATCTGAAGCTCAGTTATATTTAAACACACAGACGTTTGAGTCACGACACGGAGACCGTAATTACTGGAGTGGGTGGTTTGTTTGATTATAGCCGCTGTGTGTGTGTGTGTGTGTGTGTGTGTGTAAAAGTGTGTGTACAAGTGTGTGTTCGGCTCTAATGCTGTCGTCATCCCTCTGAGTCTCTCACACACACACACACACACACACACACAGCTGTCCATTACAGGGCTGACCACATTGATCCGCTGAGTTAAATATGGATATTTTCTCTCTCCGAGTTCAAGCACATCTGCGTTTCTTTATTCAAGAAATATTTGCATGTAGATTACTGTATATATATATTTATATATATTTTATGTATAAATAACACTTTTTTCTTAAATATAAGCATGCATATGCATAAACAAAATAAGTGTACACAATACACACACATATATTATGTAACACTTATGGATGCGATTAATCGTTGATCAGAACTAATTATTTAGTAATCTGGGGTTATAATAGTATAATTATTCCATTTTTGTCATATTTTTGATGACATTATTGTTATTATATGTGGCAGAAATGGTTTATGGAAGTGTGTATGTGAGCATATGTGTATGTGTGTGTCTCACGCGTCTGCGCAGACGGTCCCGCTCCTCTCGGATGGAGCTCATGGTGGCTTTGGTCCGGTTGAGATCTTCTTCTTTGCGGCACAGCATCGCCGTCAGACTCTCGTTCTCCTCCCGCAGGCCGGCCAGCTCCTTCTCCCAGCGCACGCGCTCCTCACACACACTGGGGTAGAAGTCCCGGCCCAGAGCGCCCTCGATCTCCTCCACCGTCTACACACACACACACACTTTCTCATGCATATTTTATATGCAAAACTAGAAAGCATCTCAATCTCAAAACCCCAAAAAAAATTCTGAACAGTGTTTCTGAAGCCTAAAGTGGGCGGGGCCAGCCATCGCCATTTTGGCCGCACGTCACTCCCAGATAAACGAACATGTGCAGTGAGACGGATTAGCTGAAGTGACGTGATGCTAACGCTAGTGACATCAGTGGCAATCCACCTGTCACTCAAGTGGCCACGCCCTTAATTATGCACAACTTTAAGGCTTAACGGATGAGTTATAAAAAATGTCACCCTCCTCACAGTCATCTAGCGATATAGACCAAAACCACTTTTAGCACCAGACTGTAAACATGTTTATTTCTGCTGTAAAGTTGGGCATTTTAACATGCGGGTCTATGGGAGTGAGTCTCTTCTGCAGCGCCTCTAGTGGCCAGAGGAGGAACTGCAGTTTAATCACTTCCATGTGGGATTCAAGAAAGACTAGGTACTACACACACACACACACACACACACACACACACAAGCTCTTGAAGCTCCGCCCCCTGTCCCGGAAGCAGCAGCTCATTTGCATTTAAAGGTACACACAAAAACGGTGCGTTTTTGATCACCCTCAAAAAGTGACAATTTTAACATGCTTTAAAAGTGAATATTAAGCTAAAACTTCACACACACACTCTAGGGGACATCAGAGACTTATTTTACATCTTGTGAAGAGGGTGTTATACGACCCCTTTAACATGGAGGTCTATGGGATTGACTCTTCTGCAGTGCCTCTAGTGGCCAGTCGATGAACTGCAGTTTAATTACAGTGATAGATTCGAGAGAGACTTGTTTGTACCTTGATGGCGAGATCACAGTGTTCGCTGGCGGTGGTCAGCTGTTCGATGTGTCGGTCCACCTCGGCCACAGACAGGCTACACGTGCTCTTCTTACGGCCACACAACACACTCTCTAAACCCGTCAGAACCCGCTGGAGCTCCGAGTTCAGGTCACTGCAGTTATCTGACCAAACACACACATCCAGAACATTAGTGGCGACATGGATCACAAAAATCATGGTTTCAAATCATTTAAGGTTTTTAAGCCATGGGTCGGATAATTTTTTGGGTCATGAAAAAAATTAATAAAAAAAATATGTAAAAAAAAAAAAAAATTTTAAATTAATTTTTTGTATATATATATATATATATATATATATATATATATATACAAATAAAAACAAATGGACAAATTAAATTACAGGCAGAGATGAATACTAAATAACAATTTATAACACAAAACACAAAATGTAGTAAATATTAGTATTACATGTAGTTTAAATGTAATAGTAATATTTTGAAAAAAAAGTATTATTAGCGTAATATTAGTAATATTAAATGTAGTACATATTATTATAACATGTACAAGTAGTATATATAATTATGTACATGTAGTTCATCATTATTATTACTCAGTACTTTACTCAGAGTTTCAGAGAAATCTCATCAACGTCTCCTAATGATCTGACAAGATACCGAAGTCTGCAAAGATCTTAATATTTCTCCTCAAATGATCCGAGCTGATCCACACTCTAACTGGACTATTATCACAACATGTTTTTATTCCTCCTAAATAATTAATTTTAAATGAAATGAAACGAGCCATACCAGCAAACTCCATGAAGTCAGCCTATAACCAGCAGAAACTCACTGTGCAAACCCGCTCATCCAACAACAACAACAAGCTAATGAAACGGAAAAACCTCATATGAATCAATCCCTGACATGAGCGGATCATTGATCCGGAGCGATATTAATATTCCCATCTGCACTGTTGCACATTAGCAATGAAACACGGAAACATGGGATGATCACAGATCCTCAAACAGGAGATTCAGCACTTTAATGGCATAACTTTGAACGAGGTTTTGGTTTTGAAGGCTGTAAGGACCTTTTAGTAACTAAAATCATTTGGCGAAGTGATATGGAACCTGCTGGAACTACTTTATCCGTGATTTTCCCTGAAAATAACTCCACACCTTAGAACTTTCATCAACCAATCAGAATCAAGCATTCAACAGCATGTAGTTTAACAAAAAAAATTATTTTCATGACTTAAAATCAATTAATCTTCAACAGGAATAGATCTAATGCTGGTTAAATCATGCTGATAAAGCTGGAATATGTTATTTCCTTTCACAGTCGGGAGTGATGCATGCTGGGAATGTTCTAACAATACACTGCTAATGAATAAACCGCCATCAGACGGTGTGATTCCCCGAATCACGACAGCGGAGCGCTTTAAAAGCTTTTGTGTCGAGCGAATCAGCTCGATCAAGTGGAAAAACAAACGACAGACGACAGCCTTTATACACCAAGACTGAAGCATTATGGGTAAACGCATCAGTGTGAAGACGCACAGGTTAAAAGGAGGACACAAGGGAGATTACTTTTAGATTTTGACTGCCGTCTCACTCGTGTCTACACATTTAAAGCAAAAAATATGTTAAACACATTACAATAATAATGCATGAAATTATTACATTTTAGTGTGGCAAAAGTTTTTATTCTCAACAGTAATTTTTCTTAATTCAATAGTGTGTTTTATTGTATTAAATAGATATAAACATTTATTTTAATCAGCATACAATAATAATGCACAATGTAAATACTTTTTGCTTTTTAAAAAAATGCAAGCAGTGTGCTAAAAAATGCTAGCAGCGCTAATACATGCTAGCAAAGTGCTAAAACATGCAAGCAAAGTGCTAAGTCATATTAGCTATTTGTTTAAACACTACAAAATGTTAACAACGTGCTAATTCAAGCTAGCAGAGTGTTAAATCAGGCTAGCTATGTGCTAAAAAAACTCAGACAAACCATGCTAACAAAGTGCAAAGTCATACTATACTTTTAAAACATAATAGCAAAATTTTAAATCATGCTAGCAATGTGATAAAACATGCTAACATCATGTAACCATGTTAGCAATGTACTAAAACATACTGACAATGTGCTAAATCATGTTAGCAACGTATCAGCAATTTGTTAAGACATCCAAGTAAAATGGTAATTGACAAGAGACAAAAATATTCTAATCTATGCTAACAAAGTGTAAATGCTAACAATATGATAAAACAGGCTAGCAATATGCTAATTCAAGGTAGCAATGTTTGAACACATTCTAGCAAAGTGTGTTAACACATGTTAGCAACATGTTAAGCAATATTAGCTTAGTACTAGCTGTGCTTACACATACTAGAAAAATGTTAAATCATGCTAGCAATGTGCTTAAACATACTAGAAACATGCTACATGTAACAGTCGTAGACCAGTAAGAGCTGTGCGCGTAAACCTCACTCCCCTGATCTCAAGAGGCGCTCTCTCTCATATTTTCAGAGTTTCATTCCTCTCACACTCAATGAACTCTGAAACACAAACTCACAAACTCTGAAACTCTTGTTTCAGAGTTTCGTTCCTCACCCATGTCCGCAGTGACCAGTGTGGACTGGTTTTCAGGCAGTGAGACGGACGCCTGGTCGGGGTCCTGATCGTCCTCGTTAACCTCTTGCTGGCTGTGACTGAGATCGGAGCGAAGCTCGGAAAACTCATCCTCCTCCCTGAGAGACACAGACACATCATGATGTTCTGTTGATATTGTCGTTTAGATCCCTAAAACGTACAAAAAAACAGACACTAATTTCCCCTTTAAATCCTTCCCTCACACTTTGCAACACCCGAAGCCATGCTTTTTGTCCAGAAAGCTTATTTAATTTATTTTTTTAATGCAATTTTTAAATAGATTTTGTTATTTTTTTATTTAAATGACTAAATTTGGTCAATCAATAAATAAATAAATAGTAACTTAAGCACACTTTTATGATGGATAGATGCATATAAACTTAGGATGACTTCAGAGTGAGTAAATCATGGGCTAATTTTCATTTTTATGTGAACTATCCATTGAAGGGCATCAAATCACCCAGTTCTGAGTGTGGGATGAATATGAAAGTCAACAGAGAACTGGAGTCATTCAGCATATTCTCTAATTTCCCAAACGAGAAGGCAAACATCCTGACCTGCTGCATACATATGAGGAGTTTCTAATTAAACACTCGAGTCTGTCTCATTTACATGCAGCGAGTGGAACAGGACACACACACACACACACACACACACAACACACGGACACCGCTTCCCCGCATCTCTGAGCACAACTCAATATTAATGAGCTGTTAGAAGAATAAATGTGTGTTGGAGACACTCTTCTCCTGTCGGGTTTCAAGGCTTGAGAAACGTTTATCTAGAGGAGGATTGAGGAGATTTAGAGGAGCAGAGAAACAGCCCATAATATCTGCCCTCGAGGAGAATAAACACGGATATAAATCACAGTAAGAGGATTTAAACTGAGATTCCTGTGTTCAGTGAAGAGACATAAACCATCGTGGGCTGTAGTGTGTGTGTGTGAGTGTGTGTGCACGCGAGTATGTGAGTGAGTGAGTGAGTCAGTGAGTGAGTGAGTGAGTGAGTCAGAAAGTGAGTGAGTGAGTGTGTGAGTCAGTGAGTGAGTGAGTCAGTGAGTGAGTGAGTGAGTGAGTGAATCAGTGAGTGAGTGAGTGAGTCAGTGAGTGAGTGAGTGAGTCAGTGAGTGAGTGAGTCAGAAAGTGAGTGAGTGTGTGAGTCAGTGAGTGAGTGAGTCAGAAAGTGAGTGAGTGTGTGAGTCAGTGAGTGAGTGAGTCAGTGAGTGAGTGAGTGAGTCAGTGAGTGAGTCAGTGTGTGAGTGAATCAGTGAGTGAGTGAGTCAGTGAGTGAGTGAGTGAGTCAGTGAGTGAGTGAGTGTGTGAGTCAGTGAGTGAGTGAGTGAGTGAGTGAGTCAGAAATTGAGTGAGTGTGTGAGTCAGTGAGTGAGTGAGTCAGTGAGTGAGTGAGTGAGTCAGAAAGTGAGTGAGTGTGTGAGTCAGTGAGTGAGTGAGTCAGTGAGTCAGTGAGTGTGCGAGTGAGTCAGTGAGTGAGTCAGTGAGTGTGCGAGTGAATGAGTGTGCGAGTGAGTCAGTGAGTGAGTCAGTGAGTGTGCGAGTGAATGAGTGTGCGGGTGAGTCAGTGAGTGAGTCAGTGAGTGAGTGAGTCAGTGAGTGAGTCAGTGAGTGAGTCAGTGAGTGAGTGAGTCAGTGAGTGAGTGAGTCAGTGAATGTGCGAGTGAGTCAGTGAGTGAGTGAGTCAGTGAGTGAGTGAGTCAGTGAGTGTGCGAGTGAGTGAGTGTGCGAGTGAGTCAGTGAGTGTGCGAGTGAGTCAGTGAGTGTGCGAGTGAGTGAGTGTGCGAGTGAGTGAATGTGCGAGTGAGTCAGTGAGTGAGTGAGTGAGTGAGTGAGTCAGTGAGTGAGTCAGTGAGTGAGTGAGTGAGTCAGTGAGTGAGTGAGTGAGTGAGTCAGTGAGTGAGTGAGTCAGTGAGTGAGTCAGTGAGTGAGTGTGCGAGTGAGTGAGGGTGCTTCTCAATATCCCTCCTCGTCTCCTCGCTCCTCCGTCCTCCCTCCTATGACCCGGAAACCGATCGAGCTCAGCCATCTTGAAGGACATCTCAATTCTCTAATTGCACCGTGAGGAGTCGAGGATCGAGGAGTGAGGAGGCTTCCTGAGGAGTCATAAGCGAGGATACACAGGTGCATCCTACGCGGAACTGTTATATTCACTAAACGTGACGCACGTGTCAATTCTCCTCCCCCTTCACATCGGTCACAATCATTTTAATTTATACTTTACCTTTGCAGTTTATATAAACCACACATCTCAGATATTTCAACAGTATAGCCTATCTTTATTATTATTTGTTATGAATTTATTAAATAACCCAACTTCAACATCATAAGGGCAGATCCTTTTAGCGCTGCTGATCGACACTGTGGTGTGATGCTCGAGTGATCAAGTACTCCAATGTATATAAAAAAGCTTTTATTCGATTCCTCTGTCCTCCTTTCCTTTCCTCGCTTCCTTCCCTCGCGTCCTACAGGGGGTGGAGCTGAGACGCAAGGAAAGGAAACGAGGATGCACAAATAAGAAATGAGAAGCACCCTGAGTGTGCGAGTGAGTCAGTGAGTGAGTCAGTGAGTGAGTCAGTGAGTGAGTCAGTGAGTGAGTGAGTCAGTCAGTGAGTGAGTGAGTCAGTGAGTGAGTCAGTGAGTGAGTGAGTGAGTCAGTGAGTGAGTGAGTGAGTGAGTCAGTGAGTGAGTCAGTGAGTGAGTGAGTGAGTCAGTGAGTGAGTCAGTGAGTGAGTCAGTGAGTGAGTCAGTGAGTGAGTGAGTCAGTGAGTGAGTGAGTCAGTGAGTGAGTCAGTGAGTGAGTCAGTGAGTGAGTCAGTGAGTGAGTCAGTGAGTGAGTGAGTGAGTCAGTGAGTGAGTCAGTGAGTGAGTCAGTGAGTGAGTCAGTGAGTGAGTCAGTGAGTGAGTGAGTCAGTGAGTGAGTGAGTCAGTGAGTGAGTCAGTGAGTGAGTGAGTGAGTCAGTGAGTGAGTGAGTGAGTGAGTCAGTGAGTGAGTGAGTCAGTGAGTGAGTGAGTGAGTCAGTGAGTGAGTCAGTGAGTGTGTGAGTGAGTCAGTGAGTGAGTGAGTCAGTGAGTGAGTGAGTGAGTCAGTGAGTGAGTGAATCAGTGAGTGAGTCAGTGAGTGAGTGAATCAGTGAGTGAGTCAGTGAGTCAGTCAGTGAGTGAGTGTGTGTGAGTGAGACCTGATGGTGGAGGCCTGCAGTAAGTCGATCTTCTTGTTGAGTTCTGCAATGATGCTGTGTAGTTCTGTGATTCGCTCTTCGTAGCGCAGCGTCGTTCTCTCCTGAACCTCCTCATGCTCCCGCAGCAGATGAGACTGCTCACACTGCACACACACACAGAGAGAGAGAGAGAGCGTGACAGAGATTAATAATACAGTTACACTGAAGAAAACTGCATGGTGAAATAAACCACACAAGCTGTGCGCGCGCGCACACACACACAGTGAGAGATTCAATCTCTACGAGACATGCAGAATACCTCCAGAAACACACAGGTACGCTTCCTGTACACACACACACACACACACACACACACTCTCATTGACACGCTCGCTCACACACACATTTATAGAGAGAGCGTATACGCGTTTAGTTGGCTCATAGACTTCCACTGTTTCTCCTTCAGATTAATGATGTTCTCTGTCCCGCTGCATCAGAGTCAGTCAAACATTAGCTGGAGCTCTCATGAGCCGCTCTAAACCGTGAACACACACGTCAAACATCCTCACAACTCACTCCTCATGATATTTCACCACATTATTGAGGACATTTTACCCTCTCAAGCATGAACAAACCTCCACACACACACACACACACACAACGTTGACCTGCAGCATGGCAGAAAATTCACACAATCCACCAAACAACAAACAACGAAATCAATCTTTATATCCGAAATTGACTCGGGAAAGACCGTTTTTACTAATTTCAGCCTCATAATTACAGTAATCAAGAATAAAACTGTAAAAAACGAATCTCAACACAGCTTAAAACAGGACAAACAAGAAACAATCAGTAAATTTTGTTTATAATGATTGTAAACTTTAACATTTTTATTTCTGAATGCAATGAAACATGACTCGTACGGATGCGAGTTATCAGTTGTTCTTCAATCAACAATGCAGTTCTGACCGGATGAGAGACTTATATTCCAGAAAATATGGTAATTATTCATAATTATTCACAGGAATAGTGCTTAAAGAATAACAGTTTAGTGGAAAGATGAGTAACTCTCACATTGTTGATCAGTAGATCAGAATACATCGCAGCCCTAAAATATTTCAATGCATCCAAAGCTAATGAGTTTATAATCAGAGAAGACGTGCTCAACTCATCACACTTCTCATCAAGACTACACACACGCGCAACAGCGGACGGATCAGAGGAGTGTAACCGGCTGATGGAGGATCACAAGCACTGGGATTTCACGATGGGAGTGTGTGTGTGTGTGTTTCGCCTTCCTGGAATGATCTTAGAGGAATGGCATGTTTTCCTGGCGGGAGTCGAAGAGTGTGTGTGAAAACAAAACAAGGTTAATCACTCAGTGTGAACGAGGACACACAATAACCCGTTAAACACACACTCCACCTCTGACCAGAGCCACAATTACTGCACAATGAGTCTATTCATGATCACAGACACAACAGGAACACACACACACACACACACACACACACACACACACAATCATACAGACAGATGTATTTCCATCATATACTACAGCTCAGGATTTTGGAGTCAGTATTTATAAGAACAAAATTAATACTTTCAAAATTAATTGATCAAAAGTGACATTTATAATGTTACAAAAGATTATATTTCAGATAAATGCTGTTCTCTTGAACTTTATATTCATCAAACAATCCTGATTTTTTTCAACACTGATAATAATCTTTAACTGCTTGTTGATCATCAGATCCTTATATTAGAGTGATTTCTGAAGGATCATGGAGTAATGATGCTAAATTCAGCTTTACTGTATACTCACATAGAGAACAGATGATTTACACTGGAATAATATTCACTCTTTTTACTGTATTTTGATTAAATAAATGCAGCCTTGCTGAGCAGAAGAGACTCTTTCAAACACATTAAAATATTACCGCCCTCAAACTTTTGAACAATAGTGTAAATATATATATATATATATATATATATATATATATATATATATGCATGACTAGTTTTTGGAACAGAAACGCATATGTTTCTGTTTTTGTGGTGGTAAATCTGACGTTTATGGCTGCGTGTCAACAGTAACTCACACGGGCAACAACACAGGCTGTGTTTCAGGAACGGCTCCACGAAAACACCGACACACAAGAGCGCATTGAACCGGACCCTCACTGAAACAGGCTGGGGGTCAAAGGTCGGGTCACCTAGTGCTCTCGGGGCTCGAGGTCAGAGGTCGGAGGTCGGGACTGAGGCATGTGCCCGAGGCCGTCTCCCTTCAGGGTCGTTTCTCTCAGACAGAGGCAGACCTCTCGAGATCCTGATCCTCACACACACACACACACACACACACTCACACTTTTGTGCGCTTCACACACTCGCTGCATCTAAACTACACCAAATGTATAACAACACACCTATATAGCACCAGATATATACAAATAAACATACACAAAACACATTTCTCAAAGTGTTAAATAAAACGACAAGTTCCTTTCAAGCACACGCCCTCTTTCCAAACCCCGCCCTCACAAAATGATTGACAGGCAGAGAGCGTTTCCGATTGGCTGAGTTTCCCGAGTGTTGTCTCAGATCCGCTGATCTCTGTCAGACTGCGGTGACGTGTGTTACGCTTCTACATCGTCTTTAACGCGAGACACACACCACAAGTGTCCAGATGTGCTTTACATGCATGTGTGTGTGAGACTAATTAGCTGTCAGATCACAAATTACATCTGTGTGTCACAATAAACGCCCGAGCAACCAATTATAAACATAACAGATGTGTTACGGAGTGTGTGTGTGTGTGCGTCAAGCTGAAGCGGTGGAGCTGACGGGTTTATAAAACATAATAAAGGGAACGATGCATCAATATGCTAAAACACACTCTCTCATACACACACACACACTGGAGAATGTTTAAAGTGTGTTTAGAGGGAACAGAGTCATCTTAGCCTCTAATTTAACAACAAATGATCGTTTCGATGGAAGTCAATCGCTCAAAACTAACTTTAGCTGGAAAACAACATTATTCAGGAACTGCTATAAAACCAAACCAGTCTCTGTTACCTTAAATTATGTTTCTCTCACACACACACACACAAAATATAACATCAATGCAAGATCAACATGTATGCAAATTAACTTGGATACACAGTAGTAGTTAAACTCATCTAAAAAGTATCTTTTGAATGCTTTACTTGAAAATATGGATTGATTTCTAATGTATGAGATGTGTGTCTAAACGCACATAAAGAAGCATCAAGAGCTGCGACACACAATCAATGATTCATATATCAGCGGTGGGAAAAGTGTTAATTGGGTGATTAATTAATAATCAAAACCTCACAGTTCTGACTCTGATCACAGTGATGACATCATCACCAATCAAAAATATAAGCTGGTAAAGTCAGCATTAATGTTACTGGTCCCCTGTGGTGTAAATCCAGTGTTTAATGTAGTTTATGTGGTGTTTTTAATACGCTTTAACACACACCGTGTGTAAGCTGATAAGTGTTGATAAGTAATTTTGGTTTAAAGATGCGTTTTAAGGGATAACATGATTGACTCCAGGTGGACTTTAACTAAATCTAACAATATTTCTTTGATGTTAATTAACGGTTCATTTTTCTATTGTGTTATTTAACCCTGTGAACTCATAAACCCCAGTTTGTGGCCAAAGTGTCATCATCAAAAACCATTTAAGAGCAAGTCATGTGATTTTCTCTATTCTGCGATTTGAAAGGTTTCTAATGTAGTTCTGGCGTCTCCTTCAACAGGTTTAAATGCATCTGAGGTCAGAAAACATCATTTTCTTATAATATATGCACTGCACAACAGCTCATTTCTCCGAGTCTGAGATTCAGTCTCTCTAAGCCCCGCCTCTCTGAGAGCTGCTCCACTGTGATTGGTCAGAAAGCAAACGCTCATTATCATATCTGAATCTCAGCTGTTGATCACAGTGATACGAACAGTAACGATTCACCGAATCTTCTCAGTGTCGTCTCAAACCTAGTCTGTTTGAGGGCGGGGCTTAGAGATGATGTTCAGCCAATGGGCTGGCATTATGCAAATTAGTTACAAACATAGATTCGACTCATTTTAGCAATTTAGAATCAAGGATGCAAAGCAGAAATGGTGTGTGTGTGTGTGTGTGTGTGTGTACTGACCTGTGCTTTGGCCAGTCTGTTCTCCAGCGCTTCTCTCTCTCTCTCGGTTTGCAGCAGTCGCTGGTTCAGCTCCACCACATCACCCTTCAGAGACGCCAGCGCGGCCAGATGAAGCTGCACACACACACCACACACACACACATTACAAAACACACAACGTAAAACCACACCAACAACTGCACAGGTGGATTTGATGCGAGACGAGTTTCCTCTAGTGGAAGCGTTTGGAACTGCAGCCGAACATCATCTCACTGAACGCTGGTTTACTGAGAGATCAGCTCACACGCCGAACACACACTTACGCCTCACATTATCTCCGTCTATAAAACCGGATTTTTAGACTTCATAAAAAACTATATTTTTGCACATTTTTCATAACAATAAACGTAAAATTCTTCTCTTCAGCAATAATCTGCAAGTGTGGTGTTTGAGAAGAGATCAAACTTCAGTCTGTCGCTCTAAAGCGTTCCAGATTCTCCACAGTTTAAGCTGGACGTTAAATTATCAGCTCTACGCTCAAAAACAGAAGAAATGGATAAATCAAACTAAAATATAATGTATCCATTTCATTTAAATAAAATTAAAAAATCCGGACCGACATGCGAAGAGCACCAGAGGGTTAAATAGAAATCTTTTGTAACATTATAAATGTCTTTAATATCTCTTTTGATCATGCATACTGAATAAAAGTATTAATTTTTTCTAAATAAAAAAAAATCCTACTAACTCCGAACTTTTAAACAATGATGAATGTAGAATAAAACAGCTGTTCTGGACTGATGACATGACTGAGATCTTCATCATCATCATCATCAAACAGATCTGAGACAAACGTGTCATTCATGTGTTTGTGTGTGAGAGGTTCTGCAGTGCAGTCTCGCGGGCCGGGAAACTAAACATCATGATATACAGTAGCTGAACCTCTATACAGGATCTGTGATGTGTCCTCAAATCTACTTCACATCTCAGTGGAGAGGAAGAAATAAAATCACACGCTTCTTTCTTTCAGCTGAACAACAGTGAAGCGCAGATCCTGAGAACCAGCCACACAAACACACACACACACCATCAGAGTCTGGCATGAGAACACTGCATTCAGTGTGTGTGTGTGTAATATAGTGAAAGTGTTCAGTTCAGGGTAACACAGTTTATTTAGCACTATATCTTTTCCCACAAGCTATGAAATTATGAATATCCTAAATAAATAATAAAGTCACTGCCAAACATACGTAACAAAGCAAGACTGTTCAACCAGTACGCTAATTATTCATTTCATATAGGAGTATTAAATGCATGTCGACTGAAACCTTTTATAATGTTCATTTTATGACAAAAAAAACAAAAACAAAAAAAGAAACAGAGGATTAGGTCAATTTAATATAGTACTATATACACTCTTAGAAGAAATGAAGAGTTCAGATGCAAAAGCCTCTAAATGCCATTTGAAATTTTCTTCTTTAATGATGATTTTTATCAAACTTGAATATTTAAGTTCAGTAATTTCACTTAAATAACAATTAATAGGTAATTATCATTGCCATTTAAGTGAAATTACTGAACTTAAATATACAAGCTTGATAAAAATCATCATTAAAGAAGAAAATTTCAAATGGCATTTAGAGGCTTTTGAATCTGAACTCTTCAAATGGTTCTATTTAGAACCAGAAATGGTTCCATCCCCCGCTTCATATATGGAACTCCAAAATGGTTCTATATAGAACCATTTTTTTTGGTAAAAGGTTCTATTGGCCAAGTACGGTTCTATATAGAACCCAGAGGAACCCTGTTAGGGGTTCCTAATACGTAGCGCTGATAGAACCTTTTAAGGTTCTATATAGAACCTTTTCTTCTAAGAGTGTAGACAGAACCATTAAAAAGTTGCTAAGATTTTTAAATATCTTTGAAAGAAGTGCTTAAACACACGATGCGATACGATTCCAGCAACAAACGATTTGTTTGTCCACACCAGACAAAATGCAACCAAATCAATCAAAAATCTCAGCCAATTAGAAGAGCGCATGGGCGGAGCCTCTCTGCAAATACACCAGAAACAGAATTCTGTCACGCTTTAATAGGAGAATCGAGGAAAGTGTTTGGAAAAAGTCCCATTTGAGAATGGATCAGTATTGTATAGCTCAAAAATACATGTTTCTAGAACAAATGTTCATTATGGAAGATGAAGAAGTGGCACAACGACAGACAAAACCATTTGATGCCAAAGAAACCAAATTTATGATTTCTAGAACTTAGATTATTTCTCTAAAATTGTGTAAAAAAAATTAATGAAATTAAGTTAATGAAATTTGATTATCAATATTTAATATAAATGTATTTATTTTTGTTTTTTATGTCATGCACAATCAAGACGAGAGACAGATTTTAAAATACTGAAGTACCAAATTTACTCAATTAAATAAACTAATAATTTGGATAGTCTGATTCAATACTGAAAATATATTTTCTAAAAAATACAAAAAAAATATTTTTTGACTATTAAATGCTACAAAAATACTAGAGACGCATGATATATCAGCCACCATATCGGTATCGGGTAATAATTGTTCATTTTTAATTTTATCGTTATCGGCCCGATAATAAAATGTGTCTGATATATTAGAGCCGATCAATAATGTATTATTTCCTTCAGATGCGCACAGTTCAACATGATGATTATGAATTGCTTGAAATATGATTGGACTCACTTCAAAAAAGGCAAATACAGTTCAGTGCAACATGTGTCATATCGGCTACATAACATTATCATGAGAACATCAGAACTGTGTGTTTGAGATGGGGATTTTAATGGGGAGACTTTTGTTTTTGTAATCAGGCTCTCAAAAATTATATAAAAATTTGGGTTTAGATTTATCAGATATTTTTATAAGTTATCGGCTTTCAAATATAAAGAATTATCGGTTATCGGCCAAAATTTTCATATCGGTGCATCCCTACTTAAATTGTAAATTTAGACACCAATTAAAGATTACAAAAAAAAAATAATGATTAAATAAAAAATAAAATCAAAAACGGACTCTTGAATCTTGAATTTGTTCTTCATAAAGCAGCAGGAACTTCATGTCCGACATCAGAGACGCTTCCTCGTTTCAAGAGCAAAAGGACAGGAGAAACGAGAAGAGCGAGTGTGTGTTTCCCAGCTCTCGCTCCACAGAACATCACGCTTCATCTCTCTAATCGAGTCCGGCCGGCGGCCAGAGAGCAAGCGTCTCACACAAGAGCGCCATTCAACATCCGGCTAATTGAACACACCATGGGCCGCGTGTGTTTAGAGCTGAGAAACTTCACAGCACTTTCCCTCAATCACGTCCAAGCACTTTTTAAGAGGCAATATATTTTTTAAAGGGGTCCTAATGCCCTCTTCACAAGACGTAAAATAAGTCTCTGATGTCCCCAGTGTGTGTGTAGTTTCAGCTCAAATATCCCACAGATATTGTTATACATCATGTTAAAATTGTCACTTTTTGAGAGTGAGCAAAAACACACTATTTTGTGTGTGTCCCTTTAAATGCTAATGAGCTGCTGCTCCCGGCACAGGGGGCGGAGCTTCAAGAGTTGTGTGTGTGTGTTTACTGTGAACGTTTAGCCTTTTATGTTCAAAGCGGAGTCAGATAAAGATGGAGCGACTCTAGAAGTGACGACATGTAGAAGCAACAGGACATTTCTGAACGGTTAGTGGACGAGTTTATGAGTCTGATGTGGAGTTAAATATCTTACAGTCGTTGATTAGCATATTAGTCATGATAATCTATAAATCGTGATCCCGGGGGCGGGGTTTATGCAGATTTTAGGGTTAGTGATGTCACTAGCTGTGAAGAAGCTCGTGTAGTCCCTCAGTCGGAACGACACACACACACACACACCAGTGACACACTCACTTATTTCAGTCTTTTGTCACACACTCCCGCCACACATTGTATTTCTCACGCTGAAAAACTATTTATAATATATTGAATATGCCGCAGCGCCCCAAATCACTCACTGTGGACCCGGCAGGAATCAAGCGCGTCTCGCCTGGAGTTCTTAGTCGAGCCAATCAAAAAAAAAGAAAGGGGCCACACAATAGCCAATCAGAAAATAGCAGCATTGTATCTGGGTAAGATTGAAGATAATTCATGATCTCCTGTTTTAATGTTACAACAAATCCACAACTCGTTTGACACAAACAATGACAGCTTGCCTGCTGTTAGCGAACGTCTCCCAGATAATTAGCATCAGTTTCACGAGTGTCTGTAACTTAGCCAACAGTTTTACAGCCTCACTGACAACAGCTCAAGCAGTCTAGGCCTCGTCACATTTCCTTATCACACGATGACTGACATACTGCCACATTATGAACATCTCTCGCTCCAAATAGGCTTAATAATTTTATAAGCACTAAATAAATTAAAGTGTATTGCATAGTCGATGTTATAGGCCACTTTTAAAACCATGTAATATTTTATAATTATATCCGTCCATGGATCTCTCTTTCAAAGATGTCGGGTATAAAGCAATTGAGCATCCTCTCGTTCGCCCTGATAAAACAATATTTGATTACAATGTCGTCTTCTCTAACCCAAAATCACTCAGAACATGTACGACCTACAAACTTTTACCTATAGTGTGTGTGTGTGTGTGTGTGAGAGTGCGTGTGTAAGAGAGTGAGAGAGAGTGTGTGTGTTTGAGTGTCACATCTGTCATTTAAAGATCCACTCAGACTGGTGTGTGTAATCTCCTAATGCCAAGACGCTCGTGCACGGTCAGATCTGTTTTATGTAAGAGTGTGTGTGTGAGTGACACATTTGTCATTTAAAGATCTACTCAGCCTGGTGTGTGTGTGTGTGTGTGTAATCTGCTAATGCCGAGACGCTCGTGCGCGGTCAGATCTGACCGTACATCAGTGTCAGTTCTCTAGGGGTCGTGACGAGGTTAAAAGCATCGAGTGCACAGCGTCTCCTCGTTAATGGGGATCATTGGAGTCATGTGACACACACGGCATCTTTATTACTGAAACTTCAGGGGAACCACACACACACACTCACTCAGCCGAAATCAAGGTTTTTACTTACAGAACACACTCTATTGTATTGAAGCTTGTTTACGCCACAGAATAAAAC